ATGCTGGGGTGCTGGCCTCTTACCTTCATAACTCTGAAAGGCAGCATTTCATAAAGAAAGGGCCCCTGGGCTAGTGAACAGCCAATCAGAGTTTTCTAACCACTCTCACCAGTAATATTCTGCCTGGTCTTGACAAGTCTCTTAATGATTCTCAAGCCTCATTTTTCTAATCTGTAGAGTGAGAGCATTTATCTAGACCACCTCTAAGGTTCCTGACTGTCCTAAAATCTTTGATTCCAATTAAATTTATTTGATTCTATTGCTTATCAACAGGGCAGATAAGACAATACTAAGTTTTTTTTATTTTTAATTCTAATTTGCACTTCAAGAATATGTTTATTGCCATAAGAAAGTTTTCGTTTTGAGCAAAATCAAAGTGCCATATCCCTATTAGTTAGTTATTATTTATAAGGGATAATATACAGTACAAAGAAAAGATAATGAATAATTGTAAGTATTCAAATTTGGTTTAGAATACTATCACCTTTTGATTTGTTGACACTACAAATAGGAAGAGAGAAAATTAAGAACCTCTTATATCAGGCTGAACTGTTTTGACAGTGTCAGAATGTGACATTGTAATTGTTCAAAGCAGATATTTTCTCATTTGACATAAAATACTTGAAGACTAGAAACCCCTCTTTTTTCTTTCTTCATCTTTCTTTAAATATATGCTTCTATTAAAACAACAACAGAAAATGAAAAGATGGAAAAAAGGAAAAAAAACAATATGGAGAAAGCACAGGAATGGAAATACCAAAGCTCAGTTGTGGGTGGTTATTAGAACAGGCAGAGCTCTGCTGGGCCTGACACCAAGGATTTTGAAAACTGTGCTATTTACCCCACTTTTGGATCTGGGTGATTTGTATTGATCATCAATCTTCTGTGCTTCAGAAGGTATACATTCTGAAAATGAGAAGATCACCTGTTTCATTAAGACATATCATGGCTTCAAAACTTCTCTCTTTTTTTTTTTTTTTTTGAACGGGCTAATGAATAGCACTGTACCACAGTTTTTGAAACAAATAACATATTTAGGGCTTGATGATAATAGACATCAAAATAATGTCACTGAAAGGAATCCTTGGGGAAAGGGGTTTATCTTTTTATGATTTTAACTCTTCTTGAAACTCACCTGATTGCTGTTGTTTCCACCTTAGTATCCGGTAAAAGTAGTCTGTCTAGTGTTTAGTAAAATAAATAAAACAACTAGAATTTTCTCAAATTGTTCCATCCAGGAGATAAATGTATCCACACATAAATTTTATAAGCTGTATTTTAAGCTCAAATAAACTAACCTCAAAAGTGAAAAAAAAAATCTATTCATCAACTTGTTGCAGGGGAAAGCACATGGACACTCAAACATTTATTCTTTAACAAGTTTGTGACTTGTACATCCCAGTCCAAGACCCAATTTTTTTATATGTCTTTCTTCATTCAATTATTTCTTCTCATTCTCTCTTGAATTCATTTAAATAAATCTTTATCTCCCATTCCTCCATCAAAACTGCTCTTATCAAGCTCCATATTTTTCTTTCAAGCTCCATATTTTCTAATGGCTAGCTCTCTGTGCTCATCTTATTTAGACTGAACCATAAGAAACATGATATTTGGCCATTGCAGTACAGTTTTCTACTAACAGACTTGTGCCGTGCTCAGCTGTGTCCAGCTCTTTCTGACCCTATGGACTGTAGCCCACCAGTTTCCTCTGTCAAAGGGATTCTCCAGGCAAGAATACTGGAGTGGGTTGCTGTGCCCTCCTCCAGGGGATCTTCCCGACGCAGGGATCAAACCTGTGCATCCTGTGGCTCTTGCATTGCAGGTGGATTCTTTATCACTGAGCCATCAGAGAAGCCCATCGTATGCCCACAATAATAGTGATTTTGTATATTTTAATCTTGCTAACCTATCGGAAACTTTTTATTTGGTTGTACCCCTCACTTTCTTGAACTGTTTTCTTCACTTTTCTTCCAAACCACTGAATCATCCTGTTTTTCCTCCTGCCTCGCTGCCCTCCATCTCAGTCTTCTCACCAGCTTCTCCTAGTCTCTCTAGCCTGAAATCATTGTGCTTCCAAGATTTAAACCTTAAATGGGATTTATTCTCTATTTGCATACATTCCCTTGGTGATCTTATCTGGTCTTGTGACTTTAAATAGCATATCTATACTGATGATTCCCACTCCAGCTCTCTCCCCGTAGTCTATATTTGTACATGCAACTGAGGAATCTACTTGGATTTTAACTGATATGCCAAATTAACATGTCAACACGCAAATTAACAATTGCGAAACAGCTGTTTTGCAATTGAAGTATAGTTGATTTACAATGCTGTGGTAGTTTCGGGTGTGCAGCAGTGATTCAATTATATGTACATATATACCTATTTTTTCAGATTCTTATCCCTTATAAATTGTTTAAAAACATTGTGTGTAGTTCCCTGTTCTATGCAATAGGTCCTTGTTGTTTATCTATTTTATATGTAATAGTGTGGATCTGTTAACCCAACATTCCAAATTTATCCTTCCTTCCTTTCCCCTTTGCTAACCGTAGTTTTGTTTTCTACGTCTGTGAGTCTCTTTCTGTCTTGTATATAAGTTTGACTGTATCATTTTTTTAGATTCCACATATAAGTGATATCATATGATATTTGTTTTTCTCTCTCTGATATACTCAGTATGATCATCTCTAGGCCCATCCATGTTGCTGCTGATGGCATTATTTCATCCTTTTTATGGCTGAGTAATAGTCCATGTGTATATCCATTCTTCGTCCAATCATCTGTCCCTGAACACTTAGGTTGCTTCCACGTCTTGGCTATTTAAACAGTGCTACAATGAACATTGGGGTGTTTGTATCTTTTCAAATTATGATTTTTCTCTGGATATATACTCAGGAGTGGGATTGCTGGATCATATGGTAGCTCTATTTTTAGTTTTTTAAGGAACCTAGATGTCTCTCCCAATAGTGGTTGTACCAATTTACATTCCCACCAATAATGTAGGAGGGTACTTTTTGTCTACATCCTCTCAAGCATTTATCATTTGTAGGTTTTTGATGATGGCCATTCTCACAAGTGTGAGATGATATTTCATTGTAGTTTTGATTCACATTTCTCTAATAGTGATGCTGAGCATCTTTTCATGTACCTTTTGGCCACCCGTAAGTCTTCCTTGGAGAAACATCTATTTAGACCTTCTGCACATCCAAAATTTTTTCCTTTTTCTGCTCTGATCTGCTACCCAAGCTACTAAAGCCACTTTTTCTTGTATCTGTTTTCCACCTTAACATCTTCCTGGTTTCCACAAGTCATCTTTCTGGTTTCTCAAGTCAAATTCTTCAAACTAACCCTCACCTTTATTACTCATCTCCTTATTTCACAATTTATACTCAGTTCATCAGCAAAAGTAAAACTGTATTTTCAGAATATATCCAGAATGTGATTCTCTTTTTCACCTTTCCTGATTCTTCTCTGATTCTTGTCACTGTTATGTGTCTCTTGTATTATTTAATCATCTAGGTTGGGCTCCCTTCTCCTACAATTTCTTCTTTTAATTTCCCTCAGCACAGTCATGGTGATTCTCTATCAGTGTGAATCAGACCATCTGATTCAGGGGGCCTTCAGGGGGTTTTGTCCTGTTCATTTATGCTGTAGATCCTTTATGCTATAAAGCCTTACACTGCTGAAGGCATACCTGATAAGTCTCTAGCCTTCTGATCTCAGCTCATAATCTTCAAAGCAACTGCCACACAATAGTTACGAATATTTACTTATGTCGTGTCCTATCTCCTAACTAGGCAACTGATTCCCAAATTGGATATATAGCAGAGTCATCAAGACAGCGTGTACATACAATACATGGATGTTAATCCGACATACAGTGTCCAAAATTAACCTCAGGGCCTTGACATTATAGTCTTTACCCATGAGCGTCACATAACTTGAAGTCCTGCCCCCATGACCTGCTCCCTTACCTCCGTCAGGTATGACCAAATACCACTTCACACTAAGGTCCCCTTTTCTGTCCTTTTACACGTTCGCCCTTCTCCATACATCCATCCCCCGTTGCTATGCCATGCTTTACATTTCTCCATAGCCCTTATCCTATCACAATACAAACGTACCATTCTGCTTTTATTTTTGTTTGTATCCCACTATAATAGATGGTGTAGCAGCCTTGCCCACAATGTCTCAGCTCTCCCCATTCCTGTCCAAGCCTACTGCATCCTACTGGATGAAATAGCACCTGCAGCTCTTTCCTGAAGATATCCTTTCAACCCTACACGGCCAGCAGTTGTGGGAGTTCATAGCATATGTGTGTGTATGTGTGTGTGTGCTCAGTAACTCAGTCATATCCAACTCTTTTGTGACCCCATGGACTGTACCTACCAGGCTCTTCTGTCCATGGGGTTTTCCAGGCAAGAATAAAACCTCCAGCATCTGTGGGTGGGATAACACAGATCAACATTCTACACCATCTCCCAGAATTCCCCCTCGGAGCCCACCTCAGTTGCCTTAGATAGTAGCCTACCCCACACCAGGCTTCCATATATTCCCTGCCTCACTCCCCCATTCTCCTACAAATACCTCCTGAAATGATCTCCCAAATAAACTACTTAGAGTGTGCTTCTGAGGAAATCCACTCTAGGATGTATCCCAAGAGCGTGTCCTCCTTTAAGGGAGAAGGATTTTTGGCCTGTTTTGTTTTATTGATTTATCTGCAATGACTAAAGGGGAGCCTGACTCATAGCAGAGATTTCTTTTTTTTTTTTTTTTTGTGAAGGATGCAGCTAGTTTATTGTCTTATGGTACATATGCCAGGGCTTCTGCCCACTTGCCTGCGGTGGGAACCTGCTCGAACTTGGGGTCTGGGGGAGGTCAGCCTCCTTAACCCCAGTCTCAGTGGGGCTCAGCGCAGTCCCCAGGGCCTCCCCTGTGCCCCTCCCTCCAAGGTCCTGCCCTGGAGGCTCCAGGAGAACAGCAAGGAGTCGGAAGTAGAGTCAGGATGAGGGGTGGAAGCTGGTCAGCTGGCCCTTCTGCTGGAAGTAGAACTGGAACCGAGACTGCGCATACTCCAAGTAACCAAATTCTATAGTGGACATGGATGCCTGAAGGATGGACCAGAGACCCCAAAAGAAATGAGATGCCAGGGCATACCGATTAGCTTCCACCAGCAAATCTGCTTCCAGTTTCCTCTGCTCCTCTTGGGAGACGGTCTCACCTTTCTTTACCTCTGCCAGGTAGTGGTGAATAAAATGGAGCTGCTGTCCCTGAGTGGGGTAGTTTGCAGGCTGTGCTTTGTAGAAAGGCCACTCCTCATGAGTATAATCGTAAACCCACTCACAAAAATGGTTCCCAATGTCAAAGCCCCTGTAGTTGTAACTGCTGTACTCGAAGTCCACCAGCATGAGGCTGTCAGTGCTTTTGGGCTCTGAGAGCAGTAAGATATTCCCTTCTTGAATATCACTGTGGCAAAGACCACTGGTGATGGGGTAGTGTCCGCAGCTTCCTGAGGTTGCCCATCTCATCCTTCAAGCTGTACCTCTCCAGCAGGTTCATTTGGGGCAGGCCGGTGGGGGGCAGGTCCTGGATCTGCTTTAAGTACCGCTCCATGGTCCCAAATAGCCAGTGGGGCTCCTTAGTGAAAGGCATCTCCATGCCGTGGAACTTGGCCATCTTTGTGGCAATGGCTGCAGACAACACTGGATCTCGAAGTTCCTGTGTCTTCAGTGGCCGGCTCTGCACCCAGGAACTGGGATGTACTGTTCCAGCCGGCCCTCTGGAAAGACTCCGTAGAGCTGGGGCCCCAGCGACCGCTCTGCAAGTATGGCGAACATCACACTCTCAAGGACCAAGGAGTCCACGCCCTGCAGGATGGCCCCATATAGCCGCAGTAGCACCTCCCGGGGCTCCTCGCCAACGCTGGGCAGGTGGTCTGGCAGCGAGCAGCGGAAGAGCAGGTTGCTGAGGCCTCCGCTGCAGACCCACAACAGGGCGCGCTCATCCCGCCATCCGCTCCACTGGCCCGGCGTCCAGCCACCGCTCCCCGCGCCCTCTGCCCGCCCCCGGCCCAGGGATAGCAGAGATTTCAAAGTATTTGTTAGATCAATGATTCCCTATTTTCAAATATCACGTGATTTTACTTTCAGCACAGTCAGGGCATAATTTTGCAATCACCTAGTTCACAAATAATCAGTTCATATCAAAAAGCATTTCCTACATGTCTCAACTGCCAGTACTTCTGGGGTATGTTAAGTTTTGAAAAATGTGAAAATTTTGTAGAACTGGTAGATTGATGGAAAAAGGAGAAATTTATTTTAAAAAAGAACAAGAGTTTCTTACAATAATGGTTTTCAATCTTGATTGCACAACAGAATTACTTTGTTGGCAATTTACAAATTTCTGATTCTGGATTTTAGTCTTCCTGAGTCTGGATTCCCTTGTTCTGGCTTAGGGAGTGTAAATATATTTTTAATATTCTCTTCATGATCCTGATGGATAATCAAGTTTGGGAAGCATTTGCTTAACTAAAGGATGCAATTCTAAGTAATCAAGTACATAAACAATATGATATTTCAGAAAAGAAATATAAATGCCTAAATTTTCAAATATATTTTAAAAGGCATCAAAAACATTACTTTAAAAATACTAAAATTTAAGATGCTTATGGAAGTAATGTTTTCATTATATGAAATGTTTATTATCCTTCTATAAATTTGAAATTACTTTTACTTTTGTGTAAGAAGGAAAATCTGTAACTAATAAGTACATGTGTGACAGGAACAGTTAACTTTCATTTAAGTTAATGCATTGAACACCCATACATATAGAGTAGAAAGAACACCACTGTAATTTTATGGAGTCTAAGGACTTTTTTTTTTTTTGAAAATTATGTATGATGGAGGTTCAATATAAATGAAGTGGAAAAATCAAGTATACATTATATATATTATATGAATCATATGGTTGGTGTATGTTTCATCACTAGTACTTACTGTTTTAAAGATTAAGATACTTACCTTTTTCTTTTTTTAAAGGAAAAAAAAGATAAAGATATAACTTTTTTTTCTCTTGATATTTCCAGTGTAATTTGTTGTTGCTGTTTAGTGGCTAAGTTGTGCCCAACTCTTTTGTGACCCCATAGACTTTAGCCCAGCTCCTCTGTCCATGGGATTTCCCAGGCAGAATACTGGAGTGGGTTGCCATTCTGACCTATGGATCGAACCTGCATTTCTTACATTGGCAGGCAGGTTCTTTACCCCTGAGCCACCAGGGAAGACCTCCAGTGTAATTATCCACACTTGAAATGAAGTGAATTAGAAAACCATCTGTCACTGGAAGTAAGTGAATGCTCTTACAGAAGCAATAAAGTCTTAAATCCTTGAGTTTCCTCCTTGTCACATTAAAAATAAATAAATAAAAGCAATGCCCAGTCAGCCCAGTAGTGACCTTTAGGAAAGACTGTGCTTTCAATCCTAATTTTATATATATATATATATATATATATATATATATATATATATATTTATAAATATAAATACATCAATTTATATATAAATACATCAATAAACTGATCTAGGGAGTTTCTCTAATGAGGCAAACAGGTTATGTTCTAATATCAAAGGGCACTTGCTTCCTAGGAGAAGAAGGACTTAGGCCTTCCTGAGTCTTTCTTTTGACCAATAGAAGCTGAGTCTGTATAAAAAGAAACGTGATTACATGAATTAAAGAAGGAAATTTCTGTTTCTCCCTCTTCCTTTCCTCACTCTGGCAGGAACACCAGCAGGGCTTACATGAGGGAATTAAAGACTTGTAGGAAACTGAGACCCATTCTTAAAGGACATGCGCACAGACTTGCTCACTCAGTCTCAGCATGGAAGCAGGAGACACAGGAGATGTGGGTTCCATCCCCGGGTCAGGAAGATCCCCTGGAGAAGAGCATGGCAACCTCCTCCAGTATGCTTGCCTGGAGAATCCCACGGACAGAGGAGCTTGGCGGGCTACAGTCCATAGGGTTGCAGAGAGTCAGACACAACTGAGGTGACTTAGCTCAGCACTCATATGATCTGGTTTAACCTTAATCACCACTTTAAACATCTTATCGCAAAACACAGTAACATTTGGAGGTACTAAGGATTAGGATTTCAGTACATAAATTTTCAAGAAATACAATTCAGTCCCTAACATGTGCTACTTAAAAATATATATATATACAACATAATTCCAAGCTCCATAATCAACACATTAAAGCCAATTAATACACTCATGGAGAGTATACAGTTCTCATTCCTTATGTTTTTACCTGTATTGTCAGTCATTCAATTTCCTGACTCTTTCTCATGTGGATTGTTGAAATCCTAGCTAGAAACAACCAAGGAATGGCCTATGTGTCCATTCATTTTTTTTTCCTTTTGTTTACACATTTCTGCTATCATGTTTCTTGAATCCAATTATAATTTATGATAGAATATTATGTCTTTGTTTCACACCTGGCCACTCTTTGCTGTAAATTGTATATATTAGCAACTGTTCAAAGTCCATTTTAAATTTAATGTTTGTCACCTATACTACTGAAGAATTTTTGTTTGTTTTACAATATCTGGCATGATACTGACCTCTCTTTGTTTACTGTCAAGAAAAGGTTGTCATGCCAGTTACATTACATTTCTGCACTATTCTTTATATTTATAATCACCTGTGTATTCTGCTGCATTTCAAATTTATCGTCCTTTCTTTTTGTGGGACGCACAATGTTCAGATTGCTTCCCAGCTAAATAGAAAACCATTTTAAAGGCACACATCTACTCTTAGACTTTTTGTGTAAGACTATAAATTATCCTCTCTGATTATAGAGTTGAATTGTTTTGTTATTTGCATCATGATGGTCACAAATATTGTGTACCTCCATGTGATCTGAAAAGAATATCTTCAGTGTTCTCTTTTCAAAACTAAACTTTTTCTAGGCTTGGCAGGAAATTACTTTCAGACTTCTCAATATCTCTACTTTTCTCCCTAAGATCTCATATTTATACAATTATCAATGTATTCTTGAAGACAAATCCCTTGCTTTCAACCGACTGATCATATTTATGTCAATATCTTATCATCTCTTATTTGGACACTTGCAAAAATTTCCTATCAGAATTCCCAACAATATGCTCATATCTATTTTCCTCCATCATCTTCAGTGCTGACAAAACTATCTTAAAAAGAAAAGTATAGCTACATTATGTTCCAGTATTAACATTTCTTTGACTCCGCACTTGAATGAATTCCAATGCAAGATATTCCCATCTGGCATCAAATTTTCTCTCCATATCCAACTTCAAACACCTCTCTCTCCTTATCTCAAGTCACATGGGAAACATTTCTGGCTTCCATAACATAACATGACTTTTGAAATAATATGCTTACTGTAAAAAAATCCACTTACAGAAATTATTCTTCTGAGAAATCCATATCCATTCTTCAAGACCCAAATCAAATATCACCTTACTATGTAAGCTCAAGGAAAATTAAATCCTGACTTCTCTGGGCTTTCACAGTGTCTTATTCCTCTCTAATATGTATTGCATCAGATCTAAATTGTATCTTTACTTATTTTGTGTCTGTAACTTTTCTTATGTTTTTCCAAGAAAAAGACCATGCTGTGCAATTCACACAATAGGTACTCAGTGAGCACTGAATGAATGGGCAATGAGATCAAACCACTATAAAATAAAACCAAATTTCTCTCTAGTAAGTAATGGAGTCTTAGAGGGTACTTGTCTTTTCATTTATATCATATTGTAGCTAATTCTAATTCTAATTCAGAATTGATAAGGCTGCCTCTTAATTATTTGTAGATCTCTATGATGATATTCTCTTTGATAGCAATCATGTAAAAACATAAAAAAATTAAAAACACTTCCATTACTTTATGGTTGGTTTAGTGAAAAGCATTAATGCTGGAAGACTTAGAAAGAAGCTTCTTGAGTTCTCACAGCTTATTTTCCTCATGAACCAGCTATTTCTGTACATAGTCACATTAGATAGTTAAGAGAAACACAAGGTGTGTAAAATTTAAAAAAAATCTATGTCTATCAGACAACAACATCCAAAAACTGAAATAGTGGCTCAGGTGGTAAAGAATCTGAAACCAATGCAGGAGACCTAGGTTCAGTCCTTAGGTTGGAAAGATATCCTGGAGAAGGGAATGGCTACACACTCCAGTATTCTTACCTGGAGAATCCCCATGGACTGAGGAGCCTGGTGGGCTACAGTTCATGAGTCTCAAAGAGTCGGCACGACTGAGAGACTGACATTTTTACTTTTTACTTTAAAAAAACTCTACTCATATCCTAAGAAAAAGAAATACAGTAATTCAATTGTGAAAAATTGGATCAAATATGAAATAATTTTAAAAAAGAAATTGGGGAAAGTATGTCAACTCACAAAGGTATAGCAATTCATTGAGTCTATGAATGATGAAAATTGCAGATTTATCATCAGCTACAAAGCAAGTACTTTAGTGATATCATGAAGGTAT